GTTTTGAACCGAACATGCATTGTCGCCCAAATTGAGGTAAATTCCGCGGTAGCTGTCTTCCTGGCTTTATTAAGCCAGGTGAACAGGAGACCACGTTGAAATCCATATTGCGATCTCGTGACTTGGGCATGCATTGGTCATATGACGCCGTGATGAACATACGCCAAACGTTAAGACTGAAAATCAGTTGTAACACCTCAGGACATCAAAAATTCTCGTTCGATGTGCAAATAAAGCCATGTTTTGACGAGGGACGCAAACAAACTCGATTCGGGTGTAGATACTTATACCACAATTTTAGCTGTACGATCCGCTTTCAAGAACTCACGCCGCTCGTCTAGTTTTTACCCGACTATTAAATACACAGCCAGGGTCCACATAAGCTCACGCTTCTTTGCATCGACAGGCATTGGAAGTGGTGCAAGAAATCAGTTGCATCCATAAGCCGTAGGTTTGTTGCCACAAGTAATAAACTCTTCAAAGACGCTGTCATCGGATACAGGGCGGTGGACCTGCTCGTACGATTGACGCTTCGAGGGCTGTGCTGGGAAAATACGTGATACATTGACCATATCATTAGATGTAACCATAAGAATTGAGAGTGGTGTATGTTAAAACCACCCACGGCTACTTTTAAAAGACCAAAAGACAATGACAGAATTTATGCGATCAGCGAGGAGGAACCACCATGATATAAGATTGCCTTGACTTCTAAGAAGAAACTGGTCCTACTGACCACTAAACTAACGCTCAACTCCATCAAGGCTTCAAGCATGGCTGACTGCGGTTAAAGTGCCTCTGAGGGCTTATCCACATAAAGCCACGCGAGTTTGACCATATGACGCAATTCAAAGTTCGCCTTAATACACGGCGTATCGCAGCTACAGTGCTTAGCTACAATTTGTTTGTTGAACGTGACCTTTATGTCCTCTATATCGACAGCGTTCCACACTAGAATTTAAGAAAAGAAATCAGAATAGAAAACTGTTCTAGACTACTGAAGAGATGACAAGACGACAACACAGGATGCGAGGCACAACTCGGTGGCAGTATAAGGCAGGCCGCAAACAGTCTTCTTAAGTATAATGGGCGGCTTTCTTGGACGCATGCACGAAAGAAGGAAAATATGATAAACTTTATTCTGCTGAGGACAAAACAGAACGTAGTGCTGGGAAACGATGCCGTTTCGACGATAATCATCTGCCATCGTACTTAGAAAAAAATGTCCGTTGTCGGATCGCAAGCATATCAGACGAACGCCTCATTCGATTTTATAGAAATCCATGAATCTATTGATCGTCGAGCTTCTCCGCTCTTGCTCCTGATCACGTCAATCGCATCATATTCAGCAAAAGCACTCGCAAAAGCGAAAAAATAGTTGTGTCCCCCCTTCAGTAAACTCTGCGCGGACCTCTCTGTGCACGCTGCAGTGGGGCTGTCGTAGCTCTTTGCATAGAGGAAGCTAAGCTAATATCACCGACTATACGTTCTTTACAAGAACCAGTGCGAGTGCAGCGGGTTGCAATCCGCTGCTTCCAAGAGTAATTTAAATCTTTGCCTAGGTTAATAAACGCTTCCTTTCAAAATTAAAACTGTGTCTAATTATTTTAGTTGCGGCAGAGACTTTAGGGTCTTCTAAATAACATAGTGATACATAATCAATATAGTAAGATTTAAGTAATATGCATTATTACTGGCAATCCTGCCACCTAGTGGCTTCATGTTACGGAGTAACCACACCACTGTGTGATTACATTAACTTGTGCGATCCACACCTACGTACGGTTACACCATTTTGTGTAGCCTGCCCATTTATACAAAGGGTATGTGTCACCCCGTTTCACTCCCCCCCATCGAAATTGTGAATATTCACACTTCACATTAACTGTCGCCTCATACGGGGCTCGCGTGTCTTAGATACCATAACGTTCTTAAGAATAACCTTTAACATTCTCCGCTTAATAGGCCCTGTGTCTATGACACGCAAAACACCCAGCCTATCTTGTTCCGAAGTCGGTCGCGGGCAGAGCCCTTCTTCTTCTACACAGGGTGCATATCCGGACAGGACGTCCGCGACTTCACGGAAAGCGCATCTCAAGCCCTCGGCAACCAAGCGCAACACACCGCACCCGCCCCGAGCGACAAATTTCTCGTCGAGGAATTGTAGGACGTCGACAACGAGTCGGAAACGCTTTTCCCAACATGGGAAGACGATGAGGGTGAGGCGCGCCAACTACGCGACGTGAGCCCGGCTCGAACCTCGCGGACACCGTGTCCGTTGCCCGACCTCTCGGGCCCGGGGGAAGTGATTTCATGTAACGTGTGTGGCAAATTGGAAAAGTGATCGTGTTTCTGATTATGTTTCTGCTAATTAGGTACTTGTAAACTATCTACACATATATTATGCATTTTTATTGGACCACGTGTTCTTGATTTTTCAATCCGGTTATAGAGAAAACAGATGGAAGGTTTACGGCTGCTTCCATATTGATATAATTCCTGTTGGAATCCTCTCAAACCTTCTACAGTTTTAACTGGTAATCGCTAACTCTTTAGCCGTTTCTTTGGGTAACTCGGTACACATTATACCATCAAGACATCACTCATTACATACCATTATCAATTGCCTTAGACGAGGCACAGGAGCAGCAATTGGAGACTACCGACAGGGCGGCTCTCATGCGCTCGTATCCACGTTCGGTCCCAAATTCTCGTGAGGAGTACGGCTTCCGCTCGGCGGATCCCGCTACTGTAGCGAAAGACGCGATTAGTCGATTGTTAGGCGTCTACGTAGTCGGGCCCCCAGGCCACTACACAAGCTGAGCTTTATCAGCGGAATGCTCTCCAAGTTTGCTTTATGGTACCTCAAGAAATACCAATGGACCGGCACCGCTCTCAACTTTGAGCTGAAAGAGGAGGCGCTCCTGTACCTGCAATGCGGACTATCCTGTGGTGCTCGCTCCTGGCGAAACCGCTGCAGATGATGATGGGCTTTTTGAGCGATGGGTGCTGCGGCACCGAAAACTTTCTTTGCTGGCTACCTTACAGCGAAGCCACACGGAAGTCGACGTGCACGTTGAGCACCGTCTCCGATTTGTGTTTGCTAAACTTAAGGCTCAACGCCGTCTTCCTGCGTATTGTCGCTCTGCGACACATGGAATAATCCATCACGTCTCCGCGATCTCTGTGGTATCTCATACGGGTGAGGCTACGACCACAGCAGCGCAGGGCCAAAGTGTGAGCTCAACTCATGGCCCTTCGGCTTCCCGAGGTACTACCGAGAAGCGCGGGGCGCACGACGACGCGAAGCGTCATGATTTTTCTTATCATAAGCGTCCACGAAGCTGGGCAATCTTGCCGAAGTGGCATCTCAAATTCCTACGGGTTCTCAGAGTTTAGGTATCCCGGCTACTTCAAAAGATATTGGGTTAGACCCTTTCGACGACGTCGACCTACAAGGCGGGTAGTGGACGCCACCATCTCATCGAGAAGAGTCGGCGGCGGGCGATGACGACTTGGTGGATCGTCGTCCGGTGACTTGTGATCTCTACGAGCATTAAAGGACAAAGTCCGTCGTTATCGACACTCTGCCGAGGTTGCCTACCGTTGTGCAAATACAGTGAGAGCCTGGAGCACTTTGTGCACCAATTGCCTCATGTTGAGGATTAATGCGCTCTGTCGTAGCGTTCTTGGCCGTCAAGCAGACGAATACGTCACTTCGTGCGACGGTGGAGCGCCTTATGGTATGCATACCGTCATCAGATACAGTTTCACTTTATGCAGTTTTTTTTATCACGAATACCACAGTGGCGAATACATTCAAAAAGTGCATTAAAACCAGCATAGCCTGACATTCGCTCTTTTTAGTGTTCAGGGAAGTCTATAGTCTAATTTTATTGATGAAATGGCGCAGAGATTTACAAACAATCATCTTGCTTTGTCCGAGTAGTTGCGATGAAATAGTAGCGAAGTCCATAAATTACTCACAGTTAAATATTGCTATGCTTTATCGTTGTACACGGAATAAGTTTCCATATTTATATAACTCAGGTTATTGGATTTGTTATCTGCTTCCATGTCCCTCAAATCGACGCGCCGACGTCAGCTATGTCTGTGCTACCTCTGAAGTGACGTCACTTTTAAATCGACGCTCACCATGATACCGATGAATTTTATTCAAGTCAGTAAATATTCAGACCAGGTGGAAGACAATAATAATGATTACAATAAGAATAATAATCGCTAAGACAATGATGTTTGATTGCTGAGACAATAATGATCGCTAAGTGACAATTAAGCCGCAAAATTAAACTCAAGGAATACAGACACATATGAAACTCAAATCTTAGCTTGAGCTCAACGATATATATAAATAGACACGAATCTATTCTGCGGCGCTGCCACATTTTACGTATCGCGGTAACCCACGAGCTCAAAGCACCTTCTTAATGCTTTCAATGTGATTTATTTGCCTTTTTATTGTCACGCTGTCCTGACGCTAGTGCTCGCTCGTTCAACCTCTTGTCACTCAATACTAAATATAAACCTCCTTATCAATATTTCAGTCACAAGTTCCTCTGTCGGCTAGTAATCAGCGTTGCTAAGCTTGCGTGGATGACGTCAAAATATTCGCGATATCCATACAATTTGACTGGCGCTATTTTATGAGACCAGCCAATAGCAGATGTTAAGATTAAACAATCGACTGACGTCGACGCTACCGAAAACCTTGGCTGAAGAGCGTCATTAGTAGTCGGTCTGGCTCTGCTCCTATACATTTGTTCAGTAATGTCACCCATGCTGCATGAGATTGCTACTATGTACGAGTATCATATGTGTAATTCATAGTCGAGGCAAGTGGAAATTGACAGGCCCAGACGCTTTTTCAACTTCTCCTCACTGGAGCATTTCCCTCTCAACGCTCACTCGCCTTATAAGAATACGACAGCAAGAAAGAGGAAAGAACCTCCAGACATTGCAAGTCTCTCTTTATCAACATCATGAACGAGGTTACGGAAAGCCACACAAGCACAACATTCATGACGACGGGTGAACAGACGGAAATGGTCACTACTACTACTACTACGACTACAACGACCACCACGACGACCGTGGAATTGGCGTCTTCATCTGCGTTGGCAGACGCAATAGACAAGTTTACGTTCATCCCCGAGTTTGGTGGCCAGGGTATTTCGTACTGGACCGAGTTACAGCAGCTTTTTGCCGCATCCAATACCGGCATGACGCGTGTGTTCATTGAGAAAGCGTCACGTGCGCTACTGGACGAATCAAGCTCAGACGAGGCCAGAGCCTCCATCGCATTTGAAACAGTTATTGACGTGCACAATTGGCTTCAAAGTCTAGACGTAGGTGAAGCTCCTTTAAATGTGTCGCCAGACCGCGTGTTTTTCAGCATGCCATTACTAGTATTGACACAATGTGCCAACTATCTAAACTTTCTCGAGACTGCTGGTGTGAGCCATGAAAGTGTTGTCAAACACTCAACGACTGCTATAGGCCATAGCCAAGGTATTGTGAGTGCAGTTATCTTCTCAGCGGCCAAGACAGCTGAAGATATTATCGACCTTGGCGTCTCAATGCTGCGCTATATGTTCTGGCAGGGATTACGCACACAAGAAACGTACGATCTCGCCTTAACACAGTACAAACGAGATGGCATAGACATTGAGAACGCGGGCCCGATGTTGGCTGTGCGAGGACTCAAGAAAAAAGACGTTCTTCAAGCTATTGAAAATGCGCAATGCTGTAATAAGTCGCAAGATCTTCACCTTTCTCTGATCAATGCCTCTGACATCATAAATGTCACGGGTTTACCAGCGACACTGGTGCAATTGAAGCAGACGCTTGAGGGCCAATTAGCCAATCCTGACGCAAACCAGACCCGTATCCCGCACTCTCAACGAAAACCCACGGGTTCGCTTTCGTTCCTGCCGCTCTCTGCCCCGTTCCATACACCACTGCTGACTGAGGCCAAACACAAGGTAGTACAGGATGTGCAACGTATCAAGTGTGTGATAAAGGGAAGCCAATTACAGGTGCCAGTGTACACCACCAACGCTGACGCTACCAACTTGCAGACGGTAGACGACGTGTTACATCAACTGATTAATCTGCAGCTTCTCGAGCCACTGGACTGGATGGCAACATGGACAAAGATCGCCCAGCATCATTTGGATGCGACACACATTCTCGAGTTTGGTCCAGATTTAGGCGTCGCGAAGCTAAGTAGCAAGACCGCAGAAGGTTTAGGCATTCACATTGTCATCGCGACTGAAAAGCACCCGGTTGTGACTTCTGCAAAAGCTTCCTCTCCTCTTCTGGGAAGGGATCAATTCCTAAAGACTGTGCCAACTTTTGTTCCGGACAAAGTGACATGGGAAAGCAAGTTTGGCCCTCGAGTGACCGAATCAGGACAGCTCGTTAACCAATTTACGCGTGCTTTAAAGAAGCCACCAGTGATGGTGGCGGGAATGACGCCGACGACAAGTTTGGAAGGAATTGATCTTGTAGCCGCCATACAAAATGCTGGTTTTCACGGTGAGTTGGCGGCTGGTGGACTTTCACGCCCACAAATCTTTGAGGACACTGTAAACGCACTAGTCTCAAAAATCAAACCTGGTCTTGGCATTGCTATTAACATGCTATATCTTAATGCAAAACAATGGGGCTTCCAGTTTCCAATGGTGCTGCGTTTGCGTCGTAATGGTGTACCGATCGAAAGCATTACCGTTGGCGCTGGCATCCCGACAAAGGACCGTGCGCTAGAAATGCTGTCGCAGCTGGAGGCAGTTGGTATTAAAATGGTGTGTTTTAAGCCAGGTTCAGTGGACGGTATTTACGCAGTGCTGGAGATCGCAGAGTCGAAACCAAGTATGACAGTCATGTTGCAGTGGACCGGCGGTCGAGCTGGTGGTCATCACAGTTTTGAAGACTTCCACATGCCGATGGAAGAGACATACGCAGCCATTCGTCGCGTGTCCAATGTCCTATTAGTTGTCGGCTCTGGCTTTGGAAATTGGCAGGACTCGAAGCAGTATCTCACGGGCGACTGGAGCCTGGCTCGTGGACACGCCTACAAGATGCCAATGGACGGGATATTGATGGGATCCCGCATGATGGTTGCAAAGGAGGCGGCGACTGCGCCGGAGGTGAAAAAGCTACTCGTCGACACACCAGGGATTGAGTCAGAGCTAGAGTGGGAAAGTAGCTACACGGGCGTTGTGGGTGGTGTCATGACAGTCACGTCGGAGCTGGGTGAAGCTATCCACGTAGTAGCAAACCGCTGTGCTTTGCTGTGGAAGGAGTTTGACGATAAATTCTTTTCCATTCCGCGCGAACAAGTTGAGTTGGCTCTTCGTTTAAACAAGCGCTACATTATTTCTCGCTTAAATGCAGATTACCAAAAACCTTACTTTGGCTGCAAGCGTGACGTCAAAACGGGTGAGAGCGTGCCGGCAGATTTGGAGGAAATGACGTACGGTGATGTTCTAGCGCGTTTGATTGATCTGATGTACGTGGAAGTGGAAGGACAACCGCACCATTGGGTGCATGAAACGTATTTCACGCGTGTGAGTAAGTTTATTACACGAACTGAGGAGCGACTTCGCCGTGAAAGCTCCGGTAAGCTGTTTGACCAGTCGGAGTTGAATACGAAGCCGAGAGAAACATTTTGTGCATTCATCGCAAAGTATCCTCAGACGGTAACAACGCTACTTTCGGTTCAGGATTGTGACTTTTTCCTCGACCTATGCCGCACGGGTGGAAAACCTGTAAACTTTGTACCTGTGATCGACCTAGAGTTCAAAATGTGGTTCAAAAAGGATTCGCTGTGGTATTCAGAGGACTTGGATGCGGTTCCAGGGCGCGATGCGCAGCGCGTTTTCGTTCTCCAGGGCCCTGTGGCAGTCCGCTACAGTACGAAGGTCGATGAGCCTGTGGCTGATATCCTCGGTGGTATTGCTGCTGGCTTTGCGAACGTTGTGCGAGAAAGCGGTGCGATTGCAGGTGCGGCAATCACGCCAGCTCAACAGACAGTAGATATCGCAAACGTTAAGGTCGTACAGAGCCAAGAAAGTGTTGAAGTGTTGATCTCAACGGAAAACGGCACTTTGCCTCCCGCTGACGAGTGGCTCGCTTCTATTGCCGCGTCTGTAAGTCACAAAAAGTGGCTGCACGAGCTGATCTCTTCTACACATGTCGTCGAGGGCAAGAAATGGCTTCTAAACCCCGTTCGCCAACTTCTTGTGCCTCAAATAGGTCAGAAGTACGTGTTTAACTCTTCAGGTATTCGTGTATACGACAGCTCTATCGATATTTCGGGTCCTGTGATCGAAATCTCTAAGAAAAGTGCGAATATTGCAGTCGTAGTTAACGAAGTGCGGCCGGCCGTGACTGGTCTACAGGCTAGCACAGTAGCACTCGAGCTGACTTTTCAATATCACCCGGAACTTTCTTGTTCAATCCACGCTGAAGGTAGTGGCTTTATCGACAAAGTTAAAGCATTTTATGCTCGTTTTTGGGTGGCGATCGAGGGAAAGGAAGAGGAGTCATGTAAGGCTGCGTGTGACGCAAGCGTGCTAACTCCTTTTACGGCCGACTTTGCCATTACCAAGGCAGACATTGTGGCGTACCGGGGGGCATTGGGTCTGAATGATGACGAAGAAGGCGCTCCGGCTGACTTTTCTACCATCGTAGCGTGGCGTCCATTGATCCAATCCGTCTTCACGAAGGAGGTGAAGGGCAACCTGCTAGACCTGGTGCACCTTAAGCACTCATACAAGCTTTTATCGTCGCGCAAAGTTTCGGCCACATTTCTTGCTGGCGATGACATTGTGAGCACGTCAAACGTTGGAAGTCTGCGCATTATTGACAGCGGTAAGATCGTGCATGGGATCGCAATCATCTCGCGCAAGACGGTGGATGAGCGAATGGAGGAGGTACTAGAACCGCTTGTGGAGTTACACAGTGAATTTTTAATTCGCGGCACTTTCACTGACTTCGAGTCAACCTTTTCAATCGACATGTCGCAAAACGACTTTGTGCCTACTCGCCAAGAAGATGTGGAGATTCTAAAGGCCAAGTCGTGGCTTAAGCTTGCTAGTAAAGCTTCCGTGCACATCGGGGACCACCTGATATTCAAGCTGACGACCAAGAAGCAGTATGCGTCCATCAGCTTGTTAAAATCCTTGGAGGTGTCGGGCTCACTCTTTCGTGACGAAGCGGGTTCTATGGTCAAACTCGGTACAGTCGATTTTAATAGCCACGACGTTAACGAGAGCCCCGTTGAAGTCTTTTTACGCCAGGTGCAGCCTCAGAATGCCAGAGGCAGTGGTCTCTTTGAGAACGGTGGCTCACACATGTTGGCAAAGCCACTTGAAATCCACGTTCCAGCGAATGCGCTTGCTTACGCTGTGGCGTCTCGTGACCTGAATCCGATTCATCGCTCTAAGTACGCAGCAATTCTTGGTCACCTTCCAAATGGAAAGCCAATCATGCACGGGCTGTGGACAGCGACCAAGGTACGCGACTTGGTGATTCAGAGTTTTGGGTTAGGATTCGACAGCAATGTCGTCGACTACGATGTAAACTTCGATGGGATGGTTTACCCAGGTGACACGCTTTTCATGCAAGCTCGCCACATTGGCATGCATACTGGCAAGAAAATTTTGTCCATTGAAGTCGTCAACGAAAGTGGTGAACGTGTGGTGAGTGCGCGTGCTGTAGTCAAACAAGCGCCCATGGCCTTCGTTTTTACGGGTCAGGGCTCAGCTGCGGTTGGTATGGGTATGGATCGGTATCAGGAATCCTCAGTTGCCCGTGATATATGGAACCGTGGAGACTCTCATTTGCGCAAAACATTCGGCTTTTCCATTCTCGAAATGGTGCGAAAGAATCCGCAGTCGATTACAGTGCATTTTGGCGGCAAAAAAGGTCGCGCGATTCGCGAGAAGTATATGAGCTTGACGTGCGAGGACCCTATAACGGGCGAGATTGCCCCGCTTCTGCCTGAAATTAATGTGCGAACGCAAAGCTTTAGCTTTTCTGCACCCGAAGGCTTGCTGTTTGCCACCCAATTCAGTCAGCCCGCGTTGGTTTTATTAGAGAAGGCCATGTTCTCGGAGATTGAGGCTGCTCATCTGATTCCGGATGACGCTCACTTTGCTGGTCACTCACTCGGTGAATATGCTGGATTGAGCTCGTTTGCTGGAGCTTTGGCTGTTGAAGATGTCGTGGAGGTTGTGTTCCTTCGTGGTTTGATCATGCAAAAAGCTGTCAAGCGCGACGCAGATGGACGATCAGACTACGGAATGGTTGCCATCAATCCCACACGTGTGGGACCCCACTTTACGGAAGAAATGATGCACCAGATTGTAGACGGTATCGAAGCTGCGTCGGGAAAGCTTCTTCAGGTGGTGAACTTTAATATCCAACAGCGTCAGTATGTAGTTGCGGGGGAGAATGTGAACCTTGAGACACTATCTCTAGCATTATCCGCTTTTAAGACGCTTGCTACGACCGCTGCCGAAGATGTGACAAGAATAATCGCCGATGCGTTGACGCAGGCTCGAGCTCGTAAAGAAAAGTGTGACCAGAGTGGACGCCCGATCATTCTCACGCGAGGCTTGGCGACAATTCCGCTTGTCGGCATCGACGTGCCGTTTCACTCACGTGAGCTGCTTGGTGGTGTTCCATCCTTTCGTTCTCTACTACGAACCAAATTTGATCCGCATGTGCTGGAGCGCCAGTTACCGCTGCTCGTTAATCGCTACATTCCGAATCTGGTGGCGACCCCGTTCTCGCTTAAACGCTCGTACTTTGAAGAAGTTTATGCCGCGACTAAAAGCCCGTATCTTGAAGAAGTGTTAGACCCAATGCAATGGAAACTGACATCAAAGGCTCAACTTGCGCATCTTCTTGTGGTGGAGCTTCTGGCCTATCAATTTGCATCTCCTGTTCAGTGGATTAAGACGCAAGCATTACTATTTGCAGAGGGGGGAGTTCGGCGTTTCGTCGAAATTGGCCCTGCCCCCACATTGACGAACATGGCACTGCGAACTTTACAAGTTGGCGACTTTCCAAACGTACCTCGTGAAATACTATGGTACCAGCGTGATCGCGAGGCTGTGCACTTTGAGGAGGAGAGGACCTACGTGTCTGCATCAGAGTACGCACGTGGACTGATTGCCGAAGCGGAGGCTGCTACGGCGTCCCTTACTTCTGATGTAGTTGCAGATGCTTCTCTTGTTCCAGTGACTCCTTCTGTCGTCATTGCTCCGGAGGTCGCTGCTCCGGTCCATAACATTCAGCCTTCGTTAGCATCTTCTCCCGCCCCTGCAGATGCTCCGGTTACTGCTCTACATGTTCTCCGTGTGCTCCTTGCTGTGCGTCTAAATAAAAAGTTGGCGGAAATCACGGAAGACACGGATGTCAAGACGCTATGTGCCGGCAAGTCTGCTGTACAGAACGAAATTCTGGGTGATCTCGAAAAAGAATTTGGTGGCGGTTTTCCCGAGGGTGCTGGTGAAGTCCCACTAAAGGAGCTGGCCGCCAGCTTCCCTGGCTACTCTTCGCTTGGCAAGGTTTCGAATGGCTTGATTAACAAGGTCGTGGCGAGTAAGATGCCTGGTGGCTTTACAATGTCGAGTGTCAAAGAATATTTGGGTACCGAGAAAGCGTTAGGCGCTGGACGGATGGAGAGCGTCCTTGCTCACTCACTGCTACTTGCTCCGCAAACTCGTCTAAAAAATGATACGGATGCTCGCAAGTGGCTGGACGAGAGCATCAGTGAGTATGCTTCATTTGCCGGCGTTTCTCTGGACCGTCCGTCTTTGAGTGCTACATTTGGCATGGCCTTCAATCCCGCACCAGTGTCAATTCCAACGGTGAGTGACAAACCCGTGGAGGCCAAACACGCTCTGCAGGTGATGTTGGCGGCAAAATTCGGCAAGGCATTTGCCGAGATTAATGATACTGTGACGATCAAGGAATTGGCCGCTGGTAAGTCAGCTGTGCAGAACGAGGTCATTGGTGATCTTGAAAAAGAGTTTGGCTCAATTCCCGACGATGCTGCGGAGATGAAAGTGGGTGACTTGGCGAGTAAATTTTCTAACTACGCTTCACCGGGTAAAGTTTTGAGTGCGTTGATTGCCAAGATGCTGGCCAGTAAAATGCCGGGTGGCTTTGGCCTGACTGCTGTTAAGGAATATTTGTCTACTGAACGCTGTTTACCGAGCAGTAGGATTGAGAGTGCGCTACTTCACGGTCTGACGCAAAACCCAAAGCAGCGTCTGTCAGACGACACAACAGCTAAGCAATGGTTAAATGGCGTTGTGGATGACTACGCCAAGTACGCCGGTATTGACATTCCTTATTTCTCGAAGTTAGGAGGGGTGATGACAGGCTCCTCAGTGGGCCAGCAGGCGATGCAGTCGAGCTCGCTCCCCAGTGAATTCGATAAGCGTCTGAAGTCAATGATCGCAGACCAGATTGAGGCTTTGAGCTCATACATGGGCGACGATCCGCTGGACTGGCACCGCAAGGTTGAGACAGAGGCAGGCATGCGCGAAAACTTGGAAATGTCAATGTCGCAGTGGGTCATAGAGCATGGCGACATTTATAGCACAGGAATCAAGAGCAAGTTCGACGCCAAAAAGGAGCGTCAGTACGACAGCTACTGGAACTGGGCTGTGCAAGATGCGCTGGAGCTTTACTACCGTACCGCTGCCGCAGCAAAGGGTCTGCCAGCAAGTCCTAAGTTGGCTGTAAATGAAGGCCTTAGCGCCCACTTCGAAGCAATGACACGTTATATCAACAAGAACGTTGACACGATTGCAGATGAATCAGCGCTTCCACCACTCGAGTGGTTCAAGCCGTACCTATGCAATCGTGCGACACCCGAGCTGCTACAATGCACCAAATTCTTTGTGTCACGAGCTGAAGAAGAAACTAGTCCTGAGCTGGCCCAGGCCGTTCAACTATTGGTGGAGCAGGTGGAAGAATGGTTGAACACGAATCCTGTCAACATGCAAATTTTTAAACCAATGCAGCCGCAGCTTCTTATTCTCGATACTGGTGAGCTCGAGTATTTAGAGGTGCCCCGTGAAGGAGTGACGGACTCGATAAACTACGTGGACGAGGTCGCTCGCGGACTAGAGTACAATGATGCAATTGAATCAGGCAAGGTTGCTGGATCAGACGTAACGGCTATCATGACTAGTGCTGTCGGCTTCGAGTCGACATTGAATGACAATGGAAGCATGAGTAGTGATGAGCTTGATAGTGAAGATGACGACGAGTTTGAAGACGGTGATTCTGCAGTGGACGACAAGCTAGCAAACAAGATAAAAACAGTCGCGCCGGCTGAGGGCGCCAAGCTCAACGCTCTTCGTGACTCGTTGCGCAAACGCGCGAAGCGTACTCAGGAAAAGTCACTTGTGGCGCGGTCGTCTTCACTTCGCTTTGGATTGAACGAAAACCTGAAGAAGATTGTGCTGCCGCATGTGCACATCAGGAAACCATCCGATGTAGATCCGACTATCCGTTTGTATGATGTGGAGTCGACCTGCGTGTTGCTTTCGTGCATGCGCGAGATGGCGTCTACAGGAATCTCTTTTGTTGGCAAGGTTGCGCTTTTAACAGGTTGTGGTAAGAACTCGATTGGGGCAGAAATTGTCAAGGCGCTTCTGGAAGGTGGCGCGACAGTATTTGTGACGACAAGCAGCTTTAGCATGAAGTCGACAGAACTATTTCGTGAAATTTATGAACAGCATGGTAGCCGCGGTAGCCGTCTCATTGTATTGCCGTTCAACCAGGCGTCCAAAGTAGATGTGCAGAGTCTGATAGCGCACATTTATGATGTGCACAAGCTTGACTTGGATTTCTTAATACCATTTGCGGCACTTTCCGAGGTTGGACGGACAATAACAGACATAGACTCGCGCTCTGAGCTAGCGCATCGCATCATGCTAACAAACACCGTGCGTCTAGTGGGTGAAGTGGTGACAGCGAAGAAGGCTCGTAACATTGCCACGCGTCCTGCGCTCGTCATTCTTCCCATGTCGCCAAACCACGGCAACTTTGGTGGAGACGGTCTTTATGCAGAGTCTAAGCTAGGAGTAGAAAGTTTGATGAACAAGTGGTACTCGGAGGGTTGGGAGGACCAACTCTCGATCGTTGGAGCCATTATCGGCTGGACTCGGGGAACAGGCCTCATGTCGGGTAACAATGTTGTTGCTGCCGGTGTTGAAAAGCTGGGAATGCGCACATTTAGTACGACGGAAATGGGCTTTAATTTGAGTGCTTTGATGCACCCCAGCATTGTTGATCGAGCCGCAGAGTCACCAATTTTCGCGGATCTTACTGGTGGCATGGCTCAAGTCAGCGATTTGAAAGAACAAGTGGATACTATTCGAGCTGATATCATGGAGAAGTCGAGGCTTCGGGCATCCAACTATGCTGCACTTGAGAAAGATAAGCAAATTTTGTCATTGCCTTCAAACAAGCCAGTAGTTTCGACTATCTCAAAGACCTTCGCTCCTCGCGCGAATATGTCGAGCTACTACTGCGACACGTTTCCCAAACTATCAGGTGTCGCTGGTCTGTCTGCATCGACCAAGCAAGCGCTGTTGCGTGGCATGGTAGATCTGCGCCAGGTAGTTGTTGTCGCTGGTTTTGGTGAAGTAAGTCCGTGGGGTAACTCGCGTACACGGTGGGAAATGGAGTCATACGGTGAATTTTCCCTTGAAGGATGTATTGAATTGGCGTGGCTGACAGGTCGCATTGTTTTTGACAAGGGAAACTGGTTGGATGCAAAGACGAAAGAAATTGTGCCGGAACACCAAATTAAGTCTCGTTATGAGGAAGACATTATTGAGCACTCAGGGATCCGAATTGTGGAGCCAGCATTATTTAACGGCTACGATCCGAAGAAGAAGATGGTGCTACATCAAGTTGCCATTGACAAGAAAATGTCTCCTATTGAAGTGGCTGATCGCGAGGAAGCGCTACAATTTCGCAAAGAACTTGGCGAGGAAAATGTTGACATGTTTCAGAATGCTTCGGGCGCGTGGATGATTCGACTACGCAAAGGGTCCATCTTGAATATTCCCCGTGCTCTTGACTTTGATCGCTTTGTTGCTGGTCAAATTCCGACAGGCTGGAGTGTAGAGCGTCTGGGGTTGTCCAAGGATTTGGCCGAATCGCTAGATCCAATCACGTTATATGTGCTCTCGGCCACAATGGAGACTTTCGTTGCGGCTGGTGTGACAGACCCCTACGAGTTCTATCAGTACGTCCATGTCTCGGAAGTTGGGAACACTTCCGGTGGTGGAATGGGTGGAATGCGTGCGTTCACGCAAATTTACAAAAATCGTGTTCTCGGTAAACCTGCCCCAAGTGACGCGCTGCAAGAGTGTTTCATCAATTCGCCTCCTGCCTGGGTGAATATGTTGTTACTGAGCTCATCCGGTCCGATCAAAACGCCGGTTGGAGCGTGTGCCACGGCGGCTGAGTCTGTCGACATTGGTGTTGAGACGATTAAAAGTGGCAAGGCTCGTGTTTGTATCGTTGGTGGTTATGACGATTTCGGCGAGGAAGGTGCTTACGAGTTTGCACAGATGAAGGCTACAAGTGATTCTGTAAAGGAAATTGGAATGGGGCGCGAGCCAAAGGAAATGTGCCGACCGTGCTCTACTACGCGCGGTGGCTTTATGGAGAGTCATGGAGCAGGCATTCAGCTTCTAATGGATGCTCAGCTAGCCCTTGAAATGGGTCTACCAATCTATGGAATCGTTGCTCTTGTGAACACGGCGACGGACAAGAATGGTCGATCAATCCCAGCTCCAGGTCAGGGTCTACTCACGACAGCTCGTGAGACTTTATCAGACAACGCAAAGCCTTCACCGCTCCTGGACATAGAGTATCGTCGACGCCAATTCGATGACGAAATTGAAAATATCGAAAAGTGGTATGCTCGTGAGCGTTCTCTGACAAATGGAGATGAGTCCAGTCTGGCCTTCTTAGAGGAGGTGAAGGCTCGCAAGGTGCAGTCCGCGCAATCTATGTGGAGCGATACTTTCTATCACGGTCGTATCGATATCGCTCCTCTTCGCGGTGCACTGAACGCATGGAACTTAAGTATCGATGACATCGGTGCGTCCAGCTTCCACGGAACGGGTACCACAGCTAATGACAAGAATGAAAGTGAGGTGACGCACAAGCAGATGGCACATTTGGGTCGCTCACCGGGCAATCCTCTGCCGGTTATATGCCAAAAAAGCCTAACGGGTCATCCAAAGGGTGCCGCTGCTGCTTGGATGCTAAATGGCTTGCTACAAGTTTTAAATACAGGCTTGATCCCCGGCAACAGACATCTGGACAACACTTGTGAAATGCTGCGTAAATACGATCATCTGGTGTATCCCAATCGTACCTATCAGACGGTAGGTCTCAAGGCTGTCATGATGAAAAGCTTTGGCTTTGGTCAGGCTGGTGGTGAAGTGGTGCTGGTGCATCCAGACTATCTCCTATCTACGCTGCTGCCTGACGAATTTCAGCACTACTCGGCTCGCCGTGAGCAGCGTATGATCAAAATGAACACGTACGCCCAAAAAGTTATAACTGGCAAGCATCTTCATATTCAGGTAAAGAACGAGGCGCCGTACTCATCTGCTCAAGAGAGCAACGTCTATTTGGATCCTATGGCTCGCGCTGAGTACGATGCGACGTCAAAGACGTGGCGATTTGGTGGTGCGGACTCGCTGACTGCAGAAGCCAATCGCCGTTTGCGTGCGGAGAAACGCGCGAAAAAGGCCAAGGCTGCAGCTGAAGCAGCTTCATCATCTAAAAAGTTATCAAAAGCACGTCAGACGGACTCTTCATCGACATTGTTGACTGCAATAAACCAAGCGGCGACGAACCTGGGCTTGGCCTCAAAGAACATGGGCATGGGCGTGGATGTGGAGCCAATTGCAACATTTGAGAATCTAAACGGCCGAGAAGATTTCATCCGACGTAACTTTACAGATCAAGAGACGGCGTATTGCTACAGTGCACCTCATCCAGCTGCAAGTTTTGCAGGTCGATGGGCTGCAAAAGAGGCTGTGATCAAGGCCATCTCGAGCGCTGCACCGACCGAATCAAATTTATGGCAAGGTGCTGGCGCTCCACTCCGAGAAATTGAGATTTTTATCACGGCATCAGGTGCACCGTCAGTGTTACTATCGGGCTATCCGCTTCAAGTGTTCAATCGCTTGGGCTTGTCAAAGCTGAGCGTGTCCATCAGCCACTCCGGTGACTTTGCAGTATCCCAAGCAATCGCGAACTTTCAGCATGAGTAACGCCCCGTAGATGTATATAGTTGCAAACGCTTCGAATAGTATTGCATACGCTTTACATTAAACGTAAGTTTGCTTCATACTAGTCGATACATGATCTAGATCTGAATCCTTTGCTGAAGTAGATAGATTACAAGTATCATGGTGAACATCCTACAATTACAACCTTGTCATGTTCTGAATGATCGACTGTTTCTATCGTACTTGATGAAGATATTTCACCAACAACGTATAAAGCAGCAACTGCATGATCTCCTGGGACCGCTATCACACATCAATCGCGTCAGTGTATTGAAGAAACTGAAGTAGTAAGATGACGATGTAGAATTGATGTGCCCCATGTGTCGATAGAAGTGTACCACCAGCGAGTTTTATTTGACACAGCAAACTTCTTAAAGACTACAACAGCATGCATCGGTCCTCAGACACCCATACTTGTGGTATATACATTTGTACAGGATCATATTTAGCACGCTTTTCAGCTTTAAATGCCTTTTGCAAACTTGAGTACATCCCAGGCTAAGCTGTCTTGCGGCGCGCACCTTTCTGTGAGATGCTCAGCAGTCAATTGAGATGCAAGAGGCTCGTCAGATAGTATCTATTTGATACACCTTAGATGATGTGCTGATCGTTAAATTGTCGACATGGCATAGTTATGTGCATCTTTGCTTTCCATTTTGTTTGTAATGTCCATATGAATCACAGCTTCTTTCATAATTTGACCATATCATCTTGCATCTACTTGAACCGCCACACTTGGCACAAACCTCATGGTAAATTGCTCGACAATTTGATGACATACATCTGAATTCGATTATTGTTTTGTTCGGTTGCTGTTGCTAGTGTCCCAGTGCTCTCATGGCAGAGCCGTTGATCAAAACCGATAAACGCGTTGGCGCATGTAGTTTAAAAGATCTTTCTTACTGAGATGTAATTGCGTTGATTTGGCTAACGCCCTTCTTTAAAGGTCTTTGAAACATGCGAGTTCGAATTTGTAAAAGAATTCCTTTACTCAACACGGTTTTACGTTACATTGTAGAGGAGCCTATTGACAAGAGGCGTGATCAACGGCAGGTGGAGACGATTTCATACACAGTTATAGCTAGTGTCGATTTGCACCAAGTTTTGCAGCAGTACGGGATTGCGCCCATTAACGGCAATCGAAGTAGTTTCATACTTTAAATAGTAAATGAAGGGCATCGCATGCTCGGATCCAACACTTGTGTATCTTTGTGAATTGCTGGAATGCGATTCGATTAACAAAAACAATTGATTTATCGCAATTGATGGGAATGTTTCGTCCATGCTCCTTCGTATGGCATCTTGATCTTACTATTTGCCCAGATACTTTAAGGGGCAATTACTGAATTCTTTAGGAGTCTGCGTAAGCCAATAGGATTACAAATGCCTAAACATTTTCGTACTGATTTATGCACAGAAAATTGAGTTTGAAGTTGAGGTTCCTTTTATTACGACGTTAATATGCCTGACAGCCTCGAGTTAGGCCTTCAATCCTCCGTGATATTCGCTTGACTTTAAAATCTTGTTGGCCGTCTTTGTTGCGACCTCGCGTTATTATACCTTTCTAGTATAGTCCTGGACGACAGAAAGTTTTTCAATGGCTCTGACGAAAAAGAATACCATGTGGTAGGATGCTGAAGAAGCGTTACTTTCATGGTGCTGATTGCTTCTTAAAAACTACGAGTTTGCTTTAATTTGTCTCAGTGGGCACCTTAAACACTGGCGAACCTACATTTTATGTTGGAGTATTCTTCGTAACCTTCATCCTAATCATTCGTCGATTTGCTGCGTGTCCTACCTAACGGTATGCTCAAAGAAGCGAGAGAGATCGCGTTGTGGCGCGCTGCTAAAAGCTGCAATATGAAAAAGCTTCAGCAGATCATCAACAAAGATCGAGAGGGTGCACGTCATGTGCTGTTAGACTGGCCACATCCAGTGAACGGCACGACCGCGCTGATGGTTGCGGCTATGAAGAAGAACGGAGCGGACCCAGTACGCGCTCTGATTGACGTTGGAGCTGATTTGGAAGCTACCGATGAGGGCAAACGCCGAAGTACGGCGTTGCATTATGCCGCGTACCACAACCGCGTCGCTCAACTGGAGCTTTTGCTCAATGCAGGTGCCAATGTGTTCGCATTAAATGGAAAAGGCCACACCGCGCTAGATGTGGCAAGACTCCGTGGTCGGAAGGAAGCTGCGGCAGCACTAACATCTCGACTGCAGGTGCATTGTGACTGGCTATATATACGGTCTAAGTCAATGCTAGGATTCTGGAAGCGCCGATGGTGTGTGCTTTTAGCCTGTAATTCGAAACTCACATCGACCGAGCTATGCATTTTTCGTGGACCTCATAAAGCGCATCCGAAAGCTGTAATATGGCAAGACACTAAGGCTGAAACTACTACGTATTGCTCACGAATTAGCAATACAAAAGCAAACGCTTTTAAATTAGACACCGGAATCATTTACCAGAATCTTGGCGGTAGACGCTACAGTCGATACCGATCCTCGGGGCGCACGCACGTTCATAAATCAAATTTTCAGCCTAGCGAGTTTTTCTTTGCTTGCGATAGTGAAGAGGCTCGTGATGCTTGGATTAACGCGTTGGAAGGCCAATTGTGTGGAGGAGATAGCACGAACACAGCCTTAAGCTCTACTTTTATGGGCTCACCACAGATAGAAAACGAATGTTATCGCACTACTGAAGGTGCACTACCTTCTGGCGATCCATTAGTTGCCGAACCTATCGGCAGGTCAACTTTGTTCAGCCATTCAAATGCTGCTGATATATCGATGAATCAAGAACCAATTCGTCCGACGGCACCTACGTTCATTGAGGAAAACGAAAGCTACACGTGGTACGATTTATTTGGATTGCCAGCTTTAGCTGAGCAGGAAGGACTTGAGTTTCCTGTAGCGACGGTGATCACTATCAGTGGTGATCCTGATGAACCACAACCTGTACTAGAAGACCGATGCATTGTCTGTATGGACAATAATCGAGACTCGGTCTGTATTCCGTGTGGTCACGTTGCAGGTTGTTTGGACTGCATGCGAGCAGTCACACAAGAGAACTTGTCGTGTCCTATTTGTCGTGCTCATGTAGATGGTGTCGTTAGGATTTAGTATGTATGTAACTTAACGTGAAAGTTGCTGAGTTCAGACGTTGAGATAATGTTGCCTCAAGTTCTTTGAGCAGATAGGTTTAATTATTGATGTACCATTACCGTTAGAAGGAAGTCTACGCAGACAATAATCGTTATGGATTTCTTTCCTTAAAAACACTTTAACTCTGGTGACCGTGACATCGGACACATTTCAAGCAAATCTCGCGACAGAACGTTTGAAATTTGGATTACATTGTGCGCAGTGAAACAATCTGAAGTTTCCATTGCACATATCTCGTGTCGAATACTTGTGAAGGCAATGTACAAAACGCAAGATCTTTATGCCTGATAGCTCCATGCTGGTTTTGTACAATGTCGCTAGGAGCACAACTTGTTTAAAATAATCACTGGAGTGCTTGCGGGCGACGCCAGATTGACAAAATGTTTACGCACTGTTTCAAGCGCCATCATGAGAAGGTTACCAAACCGTTTACCGGCAGAGTTATAAGCAGACCCGGTATTTGAAATGCCAATAGACCCGCAAAAATCGAATGAAAATTCATCTAAGCAGTTCTAAAAACCAATTGCTAGTGCCGCAAATCCCATTGCTGACTATCGAAGCTGGTAAGAAAGAAGGGCAAACACGGAAAAGACATCATACAAGAAGATGATAGTCATCTCCACATTTCATAAATATACATGTTACTATTGTGAGGTGTCTAAACCATGCACAAGAAAATCCTTTTTCGACGTGACAGTGGATAGCCTAGGCTACCTCCTGATTAGTATTCCGGCTGAGTAAACATGATGTGGCCACATAATATGATGCTGTCATAATTTGTCAAAAATACATTAATAATATATAAATGTCAGTGTCAGCATACTCCATGTAGTTCCATGGCATACATACACCAGTGTTTGCTTGCGAATTTCTTAATATCAAAGTATCTTATCTAGACAACCTCATTGAGTCTATTATATTTACAGAGCGATAGTACACGATCAGTTTACGATACAACCCTGAATCTCCAATCCATTTTTGACTTTGACATCCTTACGTGAAGAGAAATCCGGAACCTTTGTTACTGAAGAGCTTGTAAATCTTAAAGAGCGGTTTTGTTGAACTTTCTTCTACCCAACTTTACTTACGCGTGGGACATGGCACACGACTTAGCCAATGACTGCGTTTCTAGAATGGAGATATGATGTCCACCATTGCGATAGGTCGATTTGTCAAATGTACGTACCTTATAGTAAGCGACTTAATCAATTCTACACCAATGACCCGTGCTGAGTGCGTCGCCGTGTGGAAAGCTGCTCGAGACGGAGACGAAGCCAAACTAGAGCGAATACTTGATAATACACACGGCACGAGAAGGACTAACATTATAAATTGGAAACATCATATTTATGGTACCACGCCGCTCATGGCAGCAGTTGAAAGTAAGTATGGAGAGAGGATCGTTTGGCAGCTTATTGCTGCTGGTGCTGACGTCAATGCTACTGACGACACGAGCCAAAAAAACACGGCGCTACACTACGCAGCAATGACAAATCAAAATTCGCTGATGGTAGACGCACTACTGACGTCCGACGCGGACGCATTCGTAATCAACCGCAGTGGCTTGTTACCAATCGATTTGGCAAGACAGAATCGACGAGACGATGCGGCTGCAGCGCTTTTGGAGCACATGAAGGTGCATAGCGGTTGGATTTATATGCGTGGCCGATTTCATTGGAAAAAGCGTTGGGGTGTTGTGATTGCCTGTAACAAACAACGCACATCAAGAGAATTGTGTATATTCCGGCGTCCAGGAAACCTTCGTCCAGAAGCCGTGCTTCTGATTGATGAATCTGCTCGTGCGTCATCTCATGTCTCCAACGCAAAATTCTTTTGGTTAAAGCGTTGGTACGCGTTTACTTTTGATAAACCTGTCATGTGGCAGTGCGTTAAACGACAGAAGCTCACCCGCTCACCCATTTGTCACAAAACCATGAGCCTCGATGATGTTCATATAAAGGAAATCGTATTTGCTGCGAATAATTTTCACAATCTCGAGTGTTGGCAGCGAGTCTTACAAAGTGACAACTTTTATGATCCTGAGACAGGAGCCCCACTCTATGGAATGTCGCCATATGATGCACCTCATGGCGAGCTTTACTACTGGCCGCATGAACTTGTTCAAAACGTTCGCTTGTCGATAATGCGTCAACAAGAAGCACACGAAGGTAATAACGAAGCTTTGAGTGAGCGATCGGGCCTTCGATCGGAAAACGAAGAACTGCTTGCCGATATCTTACGAGGATTGGATGAGTCCAATGAAGCTGGTGGCAGTAATCAAACATTCGTTCAAGCTCCAAAAACTGTAGAGGTAGCTCAACCACCGCAGCAACCTCTTTCAAATAGAGGAGATCGGAGCTATCGAAGTGGAAACAGTTTTGAAACAATCCATCCATCTTCCCCACGATTTAAACAGCGAAATGACGAAGACCTTGCTTTGTGTCCAAAGTGTTACTCGCGAGGAAGAAATGCAGTTTGCACTCCTTGTGGGCACCGAGCTGGTTGTCATGCTTGTTTGAGAATCGTGATGAAAACCACTCAATGTTGTCCAGTCTGCCGAGTTCGATTGCACTCCATCATGAGAGTTTATGACTGAAAATAGCTTATATCGTATCAAAATTCGTTGTGCAATAGGTCAAGCTGAACAATAGTTTTGCGTCATTGGATTGATTAATACAGTGGTCTAAATCTAGAGCAAATATTAGTTGATATGTCGACCATTTGCTGAATCAATTTACCAATTTATAAATATATGAACATATTGATATGTGGAAGGCTTTTAAGGAATGTATTAGTATGTTGTGTGCTTTACTTGAACCTGTCAAAAGCAGCAAACATATGATGAATGTAATATGCACCATAAAACAATTAGAAACAGCTTAGTGGCCATCTTGTGTACGCAACCCTTACACATCTGGTACAGCACCATATACCACAAAGTAAGGTATCGTAAGTTGAGAAGTACCGAGATATCGGTATTTATGGATAAAATACGTAAAATAAAAAATACAGTCTTATCATTAGTCTGCTTTGAAATTTTGTACATTTGAAATAGCAGAGAAAATGACATTCTTTGCCGATTTTAAAGCTCTCGGTTTCGCTCCGAGTAGAAGCACTCGGACGCATCTGCGCGTTTCAGTCAAAGCTTCCTCTGCGTAAACTGTATCGCGAACCCGTTGCATAAGCTGTGCTTTTGATCTTTCTTCGACGCAGTCAAATGTTCAGATACAACAAGGCATTTAAGGTTTAGCACAGCGGATATGCAGAGCCAACGATCGATGTATTAACTGTGGTGTCGTCAAATGCTTGTTTTTACCGGACTTTGTATCAGCTGCACCTGAAGATGAGGAGGGAAAACAGAAGTGGATTCATTTTATCGATCTGTTTTCAACACATCCAAAATCGACATGCTTAGCACCAATACAAAATCTCGCCACCGCTTACACCCTTCAGGCTTCATTCTCGCTTCCAACATATATATAAGTGTTACTTGCACCTGTAATAGACTTATTATTACTAAACCTGCAATGGCGTTGCCGTTAATTTTGCACAGAAAAATCTTTGACTCTCAGAGTCCGCGACAACGAACGCGCTGATGATTGTTTTTGTGCTTCCACCAAGAATTAAACCGAAAACTACTGAGGTAACTAATTCTATCATTTTGCTAAGCTATTTCACGAGTCCATTTTGAGGTCACTTACATTTATAATGAAATATAGCTATATAACGCTGAATGCATATCTCTCAAACGTACGGTTAGCAGCTAATGTGTGCCACAAAATTCCTCCTTTTTAAAGTTTCATCATCGACAACAACATCAATTTTCCAGTAAAACTAGTTTGTACCACTTCGACGTCGATCCTTGCTCTCTTGTGGAAACTGCGCTGCGACGGCCACCCAGCCTCACCACCAAAAAGATAAAGACCAAGGGTGCGCCGAATCGTTAGTGACATCGGTATCAGGGCAATCTCACCGAAGTAGAGCCTCGCACTCCCATGGGTTTTATAGATAAATGTATTTTTACGTCAGTAAATTCTGGTATACTGAACTAGTGTACCCGCTAGTCCACAAGAAAGTGGCGTAACCCTTGCTCATCGAACTGTGCCAGCGGAGGTTGATCCTCACTCTCTTTAGCTCACCCGGTTGTGGCAACATGTCGGCTCACTCCAAGCGTCTCGGTGTGTGTCCAAAACTGAGTTGTGTCTTTTGCCATCGCACTTGTTGGCATGATGAACCCCATAGAATCAGAACCATGTCGCTTAGATCAGAGGGTACAACAGAGCGCTTAGACTGAACTGGCTCAAATAGTTCGTAATAACGAGATCGTGATATGGCTTCAGATGGCACGTGTAGAACACAAGATCTGCTCACATTTGTGTATAACTCTTTTTCGCTATGATCGTGTACGTGGTCGTACTAAGTCTTCAAGACTGCAGGCGCAGCATATGTAGGAAGGTTAAGTGCGCTCAATGTAAATTTCGACACACTACATTTTCATGCGTCTTTGCTTGCCTCTGGTATCGGCGTTGTAACGGGGTTACACGTATCCTGGTATAAGATGGTGGGTCACACTAGATGGTGTGACTGTACAAAGGTATAAACTACACAAGACGGTGTAATCACACAATGGTGTGGCTACACTGTAACAAGAAGCCACTAAGTGGCGAGACTGCCAGTAGCAATGTATATTAATTAGGTCTTACTATTTAATTAAAAAGCCTAGATATTTAGATATAGGCGGCTCTGTTGCAAATATAACAGATATTTACTTTTTCAATTTTGACCGGAATAGTGCATTTGCCTTGGTTTAAAGTTTTGAGTACTCTCGGAGGTAGCAGATTGCGATCCGCTACACTCATACTGGGTCTAGTATAGAACGTAAGGTCGGTGACTGTAGTAAGCTTCCTCTAAGCAAAGAGCTAAGGCAGCCCCGCTGCACTTAGTACCACTCATAGTCAACTTGCGCCTGAGTTGATACGACCGATTCTCTCCACTGTTCTTCTATTCGCCCCAGTGCAAGCAGGACGGACTCAGAAAGCTAATGTCCCTGGTTGGCCCTGAGGGCTTGCAGCACCTTGCTTCGCAGGAACCTGAAGCGATAGGTGCGCGTCTAGAAGAGTTTTCAAATCATGAAAATGCTCTGCCAGAGCATTCACAGCAGAAGATGTCGGCGTCGACTGCGTCCATGACACCACCGATGACTTCACTCCACCCAGGCCGCTCATGGTGAGCATTAGAACCTTCAGGGGTAAGGATGGAGAACACCTTTTGCTCTGGGTGAGTGATACCGAGATTGCTATGTATCCGCCATGCTCCAGAACGAGCAACGGCGCGTGGTGCTAGCTATCTCCAACCTCGGGGGTCGAGCGCGAGAATGGGCACTGACGTGTGGTACTTCGGTTGAAGCGGCGTTTTCCTCCTTTCCCTCCTAGAGGAAGCTGCAGGTTTTTCGAGTGTTCTCGCCGCCTAGCCAGGCCTATCGCGTGCAATCGCGTTTTCTTGCCCCCCAAAAGGGCAAGAAGGAGCTGGTGGACCTTGTCCAAGGGTTGCGTGCTCACATTGCCGGGATTCCAGCCGAGGCGGTCACAGTGACCATCAGAATGGTGGACCTCCGCACTGGCGTGGCTAAAATGGAGGTCTTTCATGTACCTCGTCTTCTTTTGAAGAAGCGGGGAATGTGGCATTGAATGCCGAATCAGTTGGCACGACTTGGTTGGAATGCACACACTAGCAGCTCGTCGAGCGGGCCTGAGCCGATGGATCTTGGCTCTGCTGAGAAAGAGGAGGGAGAGCTCCGAGCTGTCGGGCAGCGTCTGCACACCCGACGGTGTGTTGTCTGTAGAGACACCCGTCACCTTCGAAGTGGTTGTCTCCTGCGCAAGATGCGTCAACGTTTGTCGAACCGACATCTCGCCAGTCTGGTTTGTCGCGGGGAATCGACAACACCCAGTAGGCGCGGGGTGCCCTACTGAAAAAATAGTTCTGTTGAGCCTCAAAGAGGTAGAGGGCAGCAGGGCCCAGCACCGGAGAACTCCGTGCTCTTGTATGCAAGCCGGGCTTGCTGATTGTGAAAGCGACCGTGAAGGGCTCTGAGAAGCCACCGAGATCCTTATCGATTCCGGGGCGTTGGGCAATTATTCTCGACGCTCCACGATAGAAGGAAGTCAGCTGTATGCTGAGGCGCTGAAAGCGCGATTGAGTGACACCGTCACTGTTTGCTTAGCGACGGGCGATACCGAGGGTCCCTGGGAACCTCGGTGTCAAGTTTCTTGACTTTGATAGCGTGGAATGCTGCTTAGTCTTAGACTTGGATTCAAGGTATGCCCTTATCCTCGGTCTGGCATGGTTGGAGCACCATGAGCCATGGATTGATTGGAGGTCGAAAACCTTTGGGCGCTACGCGCACATCTTCTGGTGGAGCTTTGGCGAGTCATGAAACCACCTCTGCTAGGAGACAAAAGCGCT